TTTATTAAACACTTATTCTCGAAAATTGACCTCTAACTTAAGGTTTTTCACCCAATTTTCATCCCATAGGTCTCAGACAGTCCACACAACATTTTGCACACACGGAATCCATACCTACCTACAACAGTTCAACCAACCAAACATTCTAAATTTGGTTTAAGGATATAATAATGTTTAATGGCTGTTGGTTTTAGCATCTCAATTCTCAATTTCAACCTATAAACAGGAATCAACCTACTCATGTATAGCATCACAATCAAATCATGTGCATAAATCTTCTCCGTTTCACATGAATAAGCAGAAATATTAACTCAAGCACATAACTTATCCACAATTCATACACCAATACCAGCAAGGCTATCTAACTCATACAATCATGCAAAAATGTGTAATTTTTTTTTTTAAATCCAGATCACGCAAAACATAAAATAAAATAAAATCAAGGCAAGTAGACACAATTTGCAAATCACACAAAACATAAAATAAAATAAAATTAAGGCAATTAAACACAATTTATAATACACTCCCAAACTTAAATTAAACATTGTCCCCAATGTGAAATTAAAGAAAAAAAAAGGAGGGGAGCTTCCCTAAATTGTCTGTATTGCCCGTGATGTTTTAGTGTTGATAATGCTGGTGTTGGTGAATGTTTCTTCTATCTTTTTTCCTAAACTTGAGATGCATCCTGTTTTCTCCTTGTCAATGTTGGTTTGGATGTTTCGCGACGTCATGTTCCTGAAAAATCAAATTTACCCCTAAACTTGAGATGCATCCCGTTTTCTCTTTGTCAATGTTGGTTTGGAAGTTTCGCGACATCACATTCCTGAAAAATCAGATTTTAAATATCGAATATATGGAACATGTGTTACTTAGCCCAAACATCTAATAACCAACTTAATTACTAAAGGACCTAGGGAAAGATGAGATGTAGATGATGATTCCTAAATAAACTAAAAAAAATAAAACAAACAATCCTATAACTCGAAAACAAAATAAATAAAAGGGAAGAAAGCTTGGGTTGCCTCCCAAGAAGCGCTTCTTTAACGTCATTAGTTTGACATAACCGAAGTGTTTAAGTTGGATCGTCAGATTGTACTTCTCTTTTCTTTCTAAACTTTACCCTTGGCGTTGTATTCTTCTTCACTGTAGCATGGCCAATAGGGTTGAATAGTTTTAACTCCGATGTAACTTCTGAAACCACTTTTGATTTGATAATGTTAGGAGGTTTCAGCGGTTCTTCAATGTAGTTCTTCAATCTGTCAGGTGGATCGACCTCTTGAGTTAAAATGAAATCTACTACTTCCTTGGTCCTTGAATAGCTTTTAATAGCGACTGTAGCAATCTTTGAGTAACTGGTTGCCATGTATTTCTCTAGAGGATCATGGAACAGTGTTCTTTTGCAATGTT